CAATCAACATGACTTCACTAACCAAGAAGCCAGGACAAGAGGTATACAATGGACTCTTGTGAGCTGGTATGAACTGGCACAAGCTGACTCCAGCCCACCACAGTCCATGAGCATTCAAATGGAGACATTCAATCTGTAGTTGGACATATACCAAGTCTGCACATAGGAAGAGAAATCTGGGCAGGAGATAGATGTTTGAAAGTTATGAGCAATTAGTGGTAGGATAAGCACTGGACTGCTAACCGCAAGGTTGGCAGTTCAAACTAAGCAGCCACTCCTCAGGAGAAAGATGAGGCTTTCTGCTCCCATAAAGATTTACACCCTTGGAAGCCCTGTACAGAGTCACTAGGAGTGGGAAATGACTTGCTGGCAATAGGGTATTGGTTTTGGTTGATTTTAAAGTCACTGTAGTGGATGGAATTACCATTGAATAACACGGAGAATGAGATGAGAAGGAGACTGAAGTTGGGATCTTGGGAAACACCACAAGGATATTTACAGAGTATCCTTAGAAGGAAGGGGGTCTTGGTGTGACTCTGTAGGCTAAGCACTGGACTGCTAACTGCAGGGTCAGTGGTTCAAACCCACTAGCCACTCCTCCAAAGTCACTTGATGGCACTTAACAACCAAAACAACAACAACTCAGGAGGAGCAAGAAGCCAAGGAGAAGACTGCGAAAGAACAGTCAGAGCAAGGAGGAAGAGTCCGAACAACCCACTGGAATTAGTTTCTACACACACACTCAGGAGTCCTGGTGTGGCACTGCAGGTTAATGCACTGGACTGCAAAGTCAGTTTGAACCGCAAGGTCGACTGTTTAAGTTCACCAACCGCTCCTTGGAAACCCTACACAAGATTGCTATGGGTCAGAACTAACTTGACGGCACTTAACAACAACAACAACAACAACACATATACTCAAGGACTCCTGGTGTGGCGCTGTAGGAGCAGCACTGGACTTTGAAGCATGAAGTCAGCAGTTCAAACCCACCAGTTGCTCCTTGGAAACCCTATAGAGGGTCTCTATGAGTCAGAATCAACTTGACGGAACTTAACATCAACACACATACTCAAGAGCTTCTGCCCTGTTCTCAGGGGAGTTGGTCACCCACTGGGCATTCCTTACCTCTGTGCACTCTTCTCTCACTTTTTCTTCTCCTGTCCTTCCCAGCAGTATCGAAATAAGCCCCAAGGAGCTCCCATCAAAAAACACTATGATTCACCCACTGCTTCCCCAGCTTTCTGCACTGTCCAAGCCAAGAGTCCTTGGTGATCCCACTGCCTCATTTACCAATCCCCGTCAGCATACTCCTGACCCCACCATCTCCTGCAAATGCCCTAGCCGGTCACATGTGGTCTCCATGCCACTCTATTTTATGTACACTTCTCAGTCCAATCTTGTTTCATCTCTCTTCAGCGTTCAACATGCTTTTATTTTGGTTTCTGAAACTCCACATTCTCCTGGTTTCCTTCTTATCTCTCTGGCTGCTCTTGGCATCTTGCTTTCTTCTAGATGACCTCTAAATGTTGGAGCACCTCAGGGTTTGGTCTTAGGCCAGCCATCTTGTCTTTCCCTTGAGCCTCTTGATGACTTCATCTGCACTAGGATGCCACTCACTCCCATGGCTCGATTCCAATCCACACTTCTCTGCTGAGCTCCAGAACTGCTTCCAGTCAACTGAGCATTTCTCCTTACATGTCTCATGGTGGTGGTGGTGTGCCGTGGAGTTGGTTCCGACTCATAGTGACCCTGTACAAGCTTTCTGAGGCTGTAAATCTTGACTGGAACAGAAAGCCTCATCTTTCTCCCATGGAACAGCTGATAGTTTCAAACTGCTGACCTTGAGGTTAGCAACCCAATTCATAACCACTACACTACCAGAGCTCCTTTACATGTCTCATAGATACCTCAAATTGACACATCTCAAGCTAAAACTCTTGAGTTTCCTACTCAAATGAGTCCCCTCTCAAGTGTTCTTGCTCTCAGTGAATGGTACTTTCAGGAAACTAGTGCTAATTGTGATTTTAATCATTATCACTATAAACCTCATGCAGGAAGAATATAGTGCATACATTGTTTATGGTTGTATCTGCACTGTTTATGACAATGCTTGATAATAAGTTGTTGTTAAGTGCCATCAAGTCGGTTCCGACCCATAGAGACCTTGTATAGGGTTTCCAAGGAGCGGCTGGTGAGCTTGAACCACTGTCATTGCAGTTCAAATGACCTTGCAGTCCAGTGTTTAACCCACAGCGTCACACCAGTATAATAAGTTGGGGCTTAAGAAATATTTGTGGAATGAGTTAAGCAGGGAAACATTAATACAGAAACCAAAGTGAGAGGAAGCAGTGTTACCCTGGAGAGATGAACAAAATTTGGTTCTCACCCTAGGCTGTCAGCTTTCTGAATGACTTTAGAGAAGTGATTTTACCTATCTGAAAACTGAGGAAATGGAAATAAATGATCAATAACATCTTTTCCAAATTGTAACATCTAATTGATAGGAACTGGTGTGGCATACTTCTGGTGTGGCGCTATTGGGTAAGTGCAGGACCGCAAGGTCAGTCCAAACTGCAAGGTCAGTGGTTCAAACTCACCAGTTGCTCCTCGGAAACCCTATACTGGGTTGCTATGAGTGGGAACCAACTTGACGGCACTTCACAACAACAACAACAACGATTGATATCTATTATTGTGGAGTCCTGGTGTGGCACTGCAGGAGAGTGTGCTGGACCACTAGGTCAGCTTGAGCTGCGAGGTCGGCAATTCAAACCCACCTTGGAAACCCTATATAGGGTTGCTAGGAGTTCAGACCAATTTAAAGCACTAAGCAACAACAACAACAACAACAACCTACTATTATTATGTCGTTGAGTTTGTCGTTGTTGAATGCCATGGAGTTGCTTCTGACTCATAGAGACTACAAGGTTTCCGAAGAGCCGCTGGTGGGTTTGAACCAATGATCGTGAGGTTAGCAGTCTAGCCCTTATCCTGTTGTTGTGTTAAGTGCCATTGACCCTGTATACTCCATGGCACATAACAACAACAACAACAGGGTTTCCAAGGAGCAACTGGTGAGCTTGAACCGCTGACCTTGCAGTCCATGGCATTAACAGTGTTACACCAGGACTCAGTGCTTATCCTACCAAGCCATATAAAGGATTTGTACATAATTAACAATATGACTTTTCCTCCCTCTTAATGTCTTTGTGCTTTGAAAACCTATTTGAAAAGCCCTTCACAAAAGGTAAGTCTGATCCTTTAACTTTTAAATTGTACAATAACTCTATGAAAGCTATTTGGTGACTTGAATTTTCCAAAGCATTTTCCCAATCCATGAAAAATCTCATAACAGTCTAAGAGACTGTTAGTCCCGGCTAACATTATTATCCATTACCCGGGTGGACGCCAGTATTGATACAATTGCACAGTAAAGTTGTTGCAGCAGCCCAGGTTGTGTTTCAACTACAACAAAATGGAGACAGTGCTAGTCCTTAACCTCACAGGATTGCGGCTGAGGGTTAAATAACATAAATTGCTGTTGTTGTTATGTGCCGTGAAGTCGGTTCCGACTCATAGTGCCCCTGTACAGGGTTTCTGAGGCTGTAAATCTTTACGGGAGCAGAAAGCCTCTTTCTTCTGCGGAACAGCTGGTAGTTTCGAACTGCTCGCAACCTGATTCGTAACCACCACGCTAGGTGGCTGATAAGTGCCGTTGAGTGAAGTAGGATTCATAGCAACCCTGTATAGGGTTCTTGAGGACCAGTTGGTGGGTTTGAACTGCCAGCCTTGCAGTTCAAACCAACTTAATGTTCCAGTGCTTACTGTTGTTATAAGTGCCGTCGAGTCGGTTCTGAACCATAGAGACCCTGTATAGGGTTTTGAGGAGTGGCTGGTGTGTTTGAACCGACCTTTGTGGTCAAACGCTTATTCTAGCGCCACACCAGGATTTGTTGAATGCTGTAGAGTCGGTTTCGACTCAGGAGACCCTGTATAAGGTTTCCGAGGAGCGGCTGGTGAGTTTGAACCGCCTACCTTGAAGTTCGAGGTGCTCTGGTAGCGTAGTGCTTACGAATCGGGCTGTTAACCTCAAAGTCAGCAGTTCAAAACTACCAGCTGTTCTGCGGGAGAAAGATGAGACTTTCTGCTCCCGTAAAGATTGACAGCCTCGGAAATCCTATACAGGGTCTCTATCAGTCGGAATCGACTTGACGACACCCCATCTCCACCCCCTTGAGTTCACAGCCTGGTGTTGATCCTACAGCGCCACACCAGGACATCTGTTGTTGTTGTTAAGTGCTTGTTTCCGAGGAGCGGCTGGTGAGGTTGAACCTCCGACCTTGTGGTTCAAACCGACCTGGCCGTCTAGCGCATTAACCCGCAGCACTATAGAACTCAGTAAACACGAGTTATTAATACATGATCACATGGTCCTGTAAAGGGCTCTACAAAACTCCACTGGCAAAGCTGGAGAAGTGCCTGGGCAGAACACTTCTTAGGTCATTTCCAGGGCCCCCCACGGGCCCCCCACGGGCCCCCACCCATACCTGTTCAGGAACTTCAGAAATCAAAACTCTACCCCTCAGTAACTCCTTGGTGGGCCCCGCCCTGCGCCAGTCCGGATCTCCGACTCCGCCCACAAATGGGCGTTACCTAAAGGAGGCGTGGTCAATAGAGAACTAAGGCGTCGATCTCCCTTTTTCACTTTAGAACCGCCCAGTTTGGGAGGGGCGAAATGGCTGTCACGTGATCACGGAGCGACTTCACCCTCCCCTTTGCTGGCACCACTTCTGCTAGTCCCAAGGGGGATGTCTTGCTTCTTTTGGGGAAGAAAAGCATGTATTTTTGTTCGTTTTGCATTGAAAATAGTGTTGAGTAATATTCTTGCTACGACGGAGTCACTGTTTGCACGTCAGGTGGTATTTTCCATTCCTACCTCCCCACACTAAGTAGTTGGTCTCGCCCAACCGGACCCTGGGCGCGGCAGCAACGGCCGCGTCACTGGTGGACGGGATCCCTCCGCTCTGGGGAGAGCAACGCTGGACTGTTGAGTTGGGGTGACTGAGAAAATCCATCCGCGTCGCCGCAGCTGCCGCCTCCGCCGCGGAGGAAGACAGAACCTCCCGCGCTCCTTTAGCGACCCCTTCGCAGAGTCCCACCGCCACAGGTACCTCCGCTGACAAAAGGAGTCCTCATCCCCCCCTGCCCCAAATTCCCTTGGGGCAACTTCTCTTAGGTTCCACGGTCTGGCCTCTTGGGAGCGGACGTAACTCTCCAGACCTCCCTCCCCTCCCTTCCTCTGGCCCGGTCTCTTCCAAACCCGGAAGGGGAACTGGGGGACCTTGGCCCCCCAATAAGGCACGCGCTTCCCGCACCATCAGTTTTTTGCAGGACTCGAGACCCTATCCCGACCCCTCTTGCCTCTTGCTTCTGCAGAAGTTGGGGGGCCAGATTAGGGGCTCCTATGGACCCCGGCCCGCCCCCTTTCTCACCACTACCACCCTCTTGCCTGCTCCCACGATCCCCCACCAGCCCGGATCCCCCTGTTTCACCCTCCGGCATTCATTCGTCTTGCAAAACTCCAGAATCCTCGGAGAGGCAAGCAAGGCCGCGAGGCCACCCTTCCCTTGGTCTCCACCCTACCCGGATTTGGGTCGTGCCCCTGGATTCTGGCTCCTCTACCCGAAACCCGACGAGACTTCGGCACTCTCCTCCTTTTACTAATCCTCATCCCCACCTACCTCCCAGGCGCCCCCACCCCCAGCTTGCTTTTGGGGAAAATGGAGGTCATAGGGGCCGGAGAGCCAGGCCCAGTGCGCCTCGCTGCGCGGCCGCGGCCCGCTCCTTGCAGCTGTCGGATCCGGAGACCCTCCCTTGTTGTCTGCCTTTCGCCCCGCCGGACCTGTGGAGGCGGTGGCACCCCAACTGCTTGGGATCTCGGCTTGGCTGCTGGGTCTCCAGAACCGGGGGCTGCGGAGGGGCCCTGGAGGGTGATGGGAACTGACTGCCCGAAACGTCGCCCCCAACTCCAGCTGCTTCCTCCCGTCCTGCTGCTTTCTTCGGACAGGGCCTCAGGCTTTGCCGCCCGCTCCGGGGCTGCTAGCCGCTGGGAGGAAGGGGCTTTGTCCGGAGCTGGGGGGGTGGTTCTCTGCCCCCGTTAGCACCCCCCTGCCTCTCAGGGGTTATCTATCCCCTGACACTAGCGTAGGAAGCCGAACTTGCGGAGGGGACATGTCAGCGGGGAAGAGGAACGAGTGCCTAGGTCCTGGGAAGTGGGAGCTGGGTGGGGGACGCCTGACTTGGCAGAGCGCACGGCCAGATCTCACAGGTGGTCAAAGGTGGCAGGGCCAGGCGGGCCCCTGGCAGTGCGTGCCGAGCCTGAGGGATGGGCTCATGGGGGACCAAGGACACAAGGGCTAGGCCACCTGGGGCCGCCCGCCTGTCGCCGCTGGCGCCTGGGAGAGAGCAGCTCTGCGCCCTGGGGCCGGGGACCTCTCTTCCGAGCCTAATTACTCCAGAGCCGCTCCCGCGGGTTTTCCGCGGGCACGGCGAGGCGGCGCTGGGAGTGAGAAGCAGCTTGCTGCCCTAGCCCCTACCCACCACAGGCGGCTAATGGGGCGCAGCCGGCCCGGAGATTATCCTGGGTGAGCCGTCCCGAACCTATTAGTGCCCTATCGGCTTTTCCCCAATCCTGTAAACAGCCACCCTGGCTGGTTCTGGGGAGGGGCGGGAGGTTGGGCCGGGCGGGGGCGACGGGGCCGGGGGTGGGGTCACCCACTCTACAGGTCTCTGCGGTGGATGTGGTTGCCTTGGCAACAGGGCTAGGGTGGGGGCATTTCACCAATGAGGTGCTCTCAGTCCGGGTGACGGTTGCCTAGGCAACTCCTGGAGCAGCCCAGCTTCCCCCTCTGTTCTCCCCCTCCAGTTGAAGCTGGGGGTGTGTGTGGAGGGTGTGCAGAGGGGGGAGGGGGGGAGTTTAAAGAGGCACCGCCCCCTTTTAGAATTAGGTGCTTAGAGGGCGGTGCCTGTGCTGGCTGGGACGGACACAAGGTCTGTTTTCGAAGGGATCCCCCCTACC